ATTTATATCTGATCCACCCACAAATACTGGTTGTATAAATGTGTTCTTCCATCTCTTCCAAATGTCGCCTCATCCGTCAACAAGAGTGAAGAGACAAAAAACGGATCGGCAGTTTGTGCAATAAGCCATCGACAAAAGTTCTCACGTGGTGAGTGATCAGATGGCGAAAAACAAATTTGGGGGAGGGTTTGTCAACTTAGTCTACATGGCAAAATAGAGCCATCTAGCGAAAACTTTCTTTAAATTTAATAACTCAAAAACGAAGTATTTGCGGACATGTGTTTATATGGACTTTTGTCCATTGTTTTGGTGCAAGGAACCCGCTCCCAATATTTGTAAAAAAATTTTGATACGCCCCCCTCTCTCTCTCTCTCTCTCTCTATATATATATATATATATATATATATATATATATATATATATATATATATATATATATTATGTTTATATAGATGTGAGTTTACATATGATATATTTATTTTATTTATATACACTTTAGCGATCGTCAGACACAAACTGATTAATGTTTTATAATATATAAATAATTATACATATATATATTTATTTATATTTTTATATACACTTTTCACACACACACACACACACACACACACACACACACACACACACACACACACACACACACACACATATATATATATATATATATATATATATATATATATATGAAGAAATATACTCTTAAGATGTGCCATATTTATGGGATAAAGTGCTCAATATTAGAGATAGAACCTGTGTAAATATAAAAGTGAACATTGAAATCAACACTTAGAGGCGATAGTGACCTGACGATTGCGTATAGCATGAAACAGACTCTTGCCTCTAATATTGACTTCAATGTTCACTTTTATATTCATACACACACACACACACACACACACATACACACACACACACACACACACACACACATATATATATATATATATATATATATATGTGGGGGGTGTTATTTGTATACAACCTAGTAGTGGCACCCTACTAGTTTGTAGCAGTTCGCGCGAACCGATTTTTAAAATTATAAATGCTTAACGAACTGCATGTTGGATTATCCGAAAATAATGTCATACATTAAGAGCCGATTTATAATAGCTAAAAACCCATAAATACCATTACTGTAAGTTCTACACTGGCTGAAAGAGGGCTTTCTGCGATGGACATAATCTATTCTGGCAAAAAAATCGCCTTGAATTTAAAAATGTAGCAAATTTTCTAATAAATTTGATAGGTTTTCCATTGGATCTTTGGGACGCCAGCGATTCAGTTTGAATGTGGCTAAGAAGCCATAACACAGCTGATGACACGAGAGTCAAAAAGCATCACACTTCTGAATAGAAATAAGATAACAGCAGATTTTCAATCTGGAAATATCTTAAGAAATAAATATTTTCTATTAAATTATCAAACAGGCTTAATTCTTTTTTAATTCCATTTAAAGTGATTTCTTGCCATTCACAGATTAAAAAGAAAATAAGCAGAATAGGTCCCTAAAAATTACCTACATTTATATAAACGGTTCCTGTAAATTTGGGATGCCATATATATATATATATATATATATATATATATATATATATATATATATATATATAATAATAATAATAATAGATTCTCCCGTCGGTTTCGACGTATGAGGATCTGACAGCTTACTTGATTCAGATATGAAAGTTTGTGCGATAATCTTAAGTGGCATTTAAGACCCGCTAGTGATTTACAAAGGAAGCTACATATAGAGCAAGTGTGAGGATTGTGAGAATGAGATCACTGTTAGATTGGCTGACCTTTTAGATCTTGCTCTCGCTTCTTGGAGATGATTCAGACAAGCAGATTGAAAATTGCTGAGTCCACTAAAACATGTTGACCTCCATTCTACCCGCTCCAAGGCTAAGCGTTCAATATGGTATATTGACTGCTGACAAGTTGCTTTTCAACTTGTCTTTATATCTTAGCCATGGCTGTCCTACATTCCTGTAGCCCTGATCTAACTGGCTGTACATTAGGATCTTGGGTCTCCTGACATCACACATTCTCAAGACATGACCAGTCCACCGTAACTGAGACTGTATGTGAAAAGTTTCGATTCCTCCAATATTACACCTGTTAAACAGGTCTACGTTAGATGTCCTATCTTGAAGGTTAGCTCCACAGATTGCACGCAGACAGCTTATATATTTATGGGGGAGATATATATATAAATTTTTATATATCAGAACAATGCTAGAAAGATCGAGGATGAAGTAGAAAAACAATTTATGACTATTTTCCTCCTTTGGTACTTCATCAGACTAAAGTGATGCTTTGAGAATGAATTTACCCTGTAATAATTGTCACATGCAATGCATAGAAGAAACCTCAATGAATTTAAGTAAAAGATTATATCAACACAAAAACAGCAAATCAACATGCTTAATGCATAAGTCGCTTATTCTAATTAGTTTAAATGAAATATTGATTTAAAGAATGTCACTTTAAACGATAAACCAATTGACTCAAACGAAAGCGTATAGAAAGTGCTTTAATTACTAGATCATCCACAGTAAATTTGCGCCCAAGTTCTTACAACATTTCACCTTTGTTGGCAGATCTTCTATGATCACAACATAAACAAAAAAAAGGAACGAAATGGAATTGTCTAGACTATACACTCAAAAATTAAATTTAAGTGTTTAAAATTTAAGCGTCCCCCTCCCCTTCGTGCGCATGGCGCATGTGTAGTCACATCACCGTAAACATCACTTTAGTCCGATGATGTCCTAAAACACGCAATGCGTAACACGCGGCCTTTTTCCACCTAAACATGGAATTCCCAAATATATATATATATATACATATATATGAGAAAAAATTTTCAAATTTAATATAGAACATTTTTTAAAATTCATCCCCACCTCTAGCTCAAATGTAGGAAAAGTCATACTTAATAAAATGTTAGCGCTCAGAATAAACTGGCAGCCATTTTGATGACGTCATAGATGGGAAGCTAGGTGTTAATGGAAAGCATTCTGTCTCTATGCTGTAAGTAGACATAGTACCTTAATGGTGAAAAACAAATTTACATTACACAATAATTAGTTATTTTTCAACCTACTTTATTTGTCATTGTTTCTACATCACTTCCATAGAATATAGTGAACATTTCGGATTAAAATATAGGTAATAATAGTGACAGGTTACGGAATTATTGATTCACCCTTGTATTTTTACCTTTTTGCTCGAAGGAAGAAGACAAAAAACTAAAGACAGATTCTTTGATTGATTGATTTATGGATTGATTTATTGAAAGAACGAAAGAAAGAAAGAAAGAAAGAAAGAAAGAAAGAAAGAAAGAAAGAAGGCCAAATAGATAAAAAAGAAAGAAAGAAACACAGAAAAAATGCAAAAGCAAAGAAAGAAAAACGACTGAATGAAAGAAAGGAAAAAGCTTGTAAAAAGAATAAAGAAAGGCAGGAAGAACGCATGAAAGAAAGAAAGAAAGAAAGAAAGAAAGAAAGAAAGAAAGAAAGAAAGAATGCACAAAGGAAAGACAGAGAAAAAAAAGAAGAAATAAAGAACGTATAAAAGAACAGAAATAAAAGCAAAAAGAAAGAAAGAAGGAAGGAAGGAAGTAAGGAAGGAAGAGACGAAAGAACGTTATAGAGAAAGGAAGAAATCAAAGTGGGGCAATAACCATATATAAAGAAAAGAAAAGAAAAGAAAAACAAATTTCAAATTTCTGTCATTCAATTGAAAGAAGTGGCATATTCCACTTTCTCAGCAGTTGACATTTGGTGAGGAATGATTAATTAAAACAGGAGAAAGTAATTAGACCAAGACGACAGTGTCAGAATAATATTGTCCAATATTTTGACCACCGTTGCCATGGCATATTTGCAAATGAAACTTGCAAGATCTCTGTGTCGGGTCATAAAAACTCATATGTTACGAATAACAGGTTTGTTTTGCGCGCTCACAATCACTGACAAAAATAGGCGACCTAAAAACATCTTAACGAAACACAAAACACCGATTTTATAAAACATTAAATGTTATTTTTCCTTAGAAACTGAAGAAACAGTTTTTTTTTTTAATATTAATAAACCAATTAATCATATTTAACAACTGCGGTGATTTCATAGAATTCTTTTACATTTAAACACGGATTAAATCAGTGATTTGAAACTTCATCTTGAAACAATTGATGAATTTCTTTTCAAAGAACTCCTCTCTTGCTTTTTATACTATTGTTCACAAAACACAAGACCCAAGAGCAACTCGAGATAAGGATATAAAGGAAGCAGATAAGACGTGCATGTTATAAGGATATGTAGAAAAGATAACGGTTAATCCAAGACTTGAAGAGGTTAAAATTGTAGCACTCGGAGAAGCGTCCTCTCAGAAGCCTGTTCCAAAAAAAAAAAATAAGAGTTCTGACTGAGTGAAACTTCCTCCTTACAAATGGAATACGGAGACATTGAGGATGAGTCGACTCTTGTTTATGTGGTCTGGTGGCTCCTAATTGTGATGATCTGAACTGGTATCCAGTTTGAGCAGCGAGATGCTAGCAACGTTTCTTCTATTGGAAAAGGTACTGAAGATTATGTAGCTCCAGTCTAGATATGGCGGCAAAATTTCCGTTTTCGTTTGATCTAACGCATGTAAAGATAGAGTATTGAGCCTCGTTCTGTTGCGAACAACAGCAGCAACAACAACAATATTAATAATATGTAGTACCCGTGAAAATTTCATGAATTTGCTATTTGAATTTCATGATCAATTCTTGTGTTAATGATTGAATAACACCTTACGAATTTCCCGCCAATGAAATACGCGTATAAATACCCTTACTGCATTGTTAAATATTTGAGCTTAACAATTTAAAAAAAAAAAATATTGCAATAGCAATTCTAAGTGTGAATGCAAGTAATTACTCGGAGAAGTAAGAGGAAAAGATTTAAAATTGACAAGATTTTGCATTTCACGCTAACCTCATGACCTCTTCTATGTGCTTTATCTTTCTTTCTTTCTTTCTTTCTTCTTTTTCTTTCTTTCTTCTTTTTCTTTCTTTTTTTTCTTTCTTTCTTTTCTTTTCTTTTCCTTTCCTTTTCCTAAAACAAAGCGGCACCTTTGTTATGTTATGTCACCCGTCTATTCTCGCAATCAAACATGTATGGTCCATTGTTTATGGCATAACATACATGTTAATGAAAAAGTAGAATTAGATTACTGCTACTACTACTATTACTACTATTATTATTAGTAGTAGTAGTAGTAATAGTAGTAATAATTATTTTCCAATAGACTCAGTGAAAATTAAAAATACAATCAAGTAAGCATAATAAAAATATTAATGTTATCTAAAAGGCTGCATTGTTAAAGTAACGACAATCTCCTGATGAAAATGAAGAAGAGACTCAAGGTGTCATTCTACAGAAGGATGCTAAGGATACCATGGACCGAACTTATGAGCAAAGATAAAGTTTTGGAGAGGATGCAAACAAAGAAGAAACTTATACTTAAAATCAGGAAGAGGCAGCTGAAATTTCTGGAACACGTAATGAGAAAGGAAGGCATAGAAACTCTGATACTCACAGGGTGGATAGAGGCGAAAGAGAGACAAGGGAAAGCAACGAGTGACATGCTTAACAGGTTTAAGCAAGCAGATAGCAGATCAGGGAATGGGACAAATAAAAATACAAAACTTATCGAGAGTTACGAGGCACAGGAAGAGGTGGAGAGCCATGATCGCCTACGTCCCGAAGAAACACAACACATAAAAGAAGAAGAAACGGTCCGGTCGGCGAGCAGTGTTCAAATTTCGCTGTAGTCAATTATTCACTTTCGCACTCATATTTTCTCTTCCTCCCCACAAATCCATAAGTAAAATTATAAGGTTGTCTTGGCAACCTCGTTTTGAATAGCAGTTAATCTAAAAAAAAGGACTACTCTGATACCAAAGCCATGCAGAAGGCAAATGGAAATTATTTACTTTCCAAAGAATAAATGATAATTCATTGATAATTAAGAAAAGGGAGGCTTGGAGAAACATGGCCGCTTCTGTTCTAAAGGATCATAGTGTTACGAAATATTCTCGCTAATAATCATTACAGATGATACCAACCAAAATGAAGGGAGGGGGAGATCTTATAAACATGAAGACACGTCTCAATTATTTACTTTTCTTATTTCTTCCATTTCAACTTTTCCCTTTCCTTCCTGTAATTCTCTAAGTATTTCTTTCTTTCTTTCTTTCTTTCTTTCTTTCTTTCTTTCTTTTCACCCTTTCTGCCCTTCCTTTCTTTCTAACTCCCTTCCTCTCTGCTATTCTCTATAGGTCTTTTTCTTTTCCTTCTTTCCTTTCACCCATTCTCCTCTTCCTTTCTTTTTAATCTCCTTCCTCTCTGTAATTTTTTATAAGTATTTGTTTTTTTTTTCTTTCTTCCTTTTCACCCTTTCTAATTTTCCGTTCGTTCTCTCTGTAATTCTCTATAAGTATTTCTTTTCCTTTTCTTTTTTCTTTCTTTTTTTCATTCTTTTCACCCTTTCTGCCCTCCCTTTCTTTCTAACTCCCTTCCTCTCTGTAATTATCTATAGATCTTTTTCTTTTCTTTCTTTCTTTTCACCCTTTCTGTCCTTCCTTTCTTTCTAACTCCCTTCCTCTCTGTTATTCTCTATAGATCTTTTTCTTTTCTTTCTTTCTTTTCACCCTTTCTGCCCTTCATTTCTTTCTAACTCCCTTCCTCTCTGTAATTCTCTATAGGTATTTTTCTTTTCTCTCTTTCTTTCTTTCTTTCTTTCTTTCTTTCTTTCTTTCTTTTCACCCTTTCTGTCTTTCCTTTCTCTCTAACTCTCTTCCTCTCTGTAATTCTCTATAGGTGTTTTTCTTTTCCTTCTTTCCTTTCACCCTTTCTGTTCTTGCTTTCTCTCTAACTCCCTTCCACTCTGTAATTCTCTATAGGCCTTTTTCTTTTCTTTCTTTCTTTTCACTCTTTCTGCCCTCCCTTTCTTTCTAACTCCCTTCCTCTCTGTAATTCTCTATAGGCCTTTTTCTTTTCTTTCTTTCTTTTCACTCTTTCTGCCCTCCCTTTCTTTCTAACTCCCTTCCTCTCTGTAATTCTCTATAGGCCTTTTTCTTTTCTTTCTTTCTTTTCACTCTTTCTGCCCTCCCTTTCTTTCTAACTCCCTTCCTCTCTGTAATTCTCTATAGGCCTTTTTCTTTTCTTTCTTTCTTTTCACCCTTTCAGCCCTCCCTTTCTTTCTCCCTTCCTCTCTGTAATTCTCTATAGATCTTTTTCTTTTCTTTCTTTCTTTTCACCCTTCTGCCCTTCATTTCTTTCTAACTCCCTTCCTCTCTGTAATTCTCTATAGGCCTTTTTCTTTTCTTTCTTTCTTTTCAATTTTTCTGCCCTCCCTTTCTTTCTAATCTCCTTCCTCACTCTAATTTGCTATAAGTATTTCTTTTTTATTTTCTTTCTTTCTTTATACCCTTTCTACATTTCCTTTCGTTCTAACTCTCTGTAATTCCCTATAGGTCTTTTTTTTTCTTTTCCCTCTTTCCTGTTCATCCCTTCCTGTCAGTAATTCTCTACAGGTTTTTCCTTCTTTCTTTCTTTCTTTCTTTCTTTCTTTGGTTCTCTGCCTTTTCTTCATGCATTTATCAACTTCATCTTCCTTTCTTCATTTATTCTTTCATTTATTCACAACCCATTTAAACCTCTGATTTCACAATACATCCAGTCATTGTATTATATGTTGTTACAAGTTCTTTTGATGTTATTTTTTTTTTTTACATTTTTTTTATTTTTTTTTTCCCACTCTTTTCTTTCCTGTGTTGTCTAATCTAACCAAAGAGTTTTCCTCTTTTATTTTCTTTTTGTCTTCTATTACTTATTCAAGTAATATAAGACAAAAATGAAACAAAAGCGGAGGCAGGTCTTTTAATTAATACGAATAGCTAGTGACGGAGCCTTGTAAACAAAGAGTTAGGATATGTTTAAATTCTTTTTAAAAAAAAATATACACAAAAGTTCCTCGACCAACCAAGGTCGAATTCCAAATGTTTGGTCAATTTGTCAAAATTTTAGAATGGGCGTTGAGTGAAGAACGTTTCCGTACATTTGGTCAATAAAAGTGAAATTAAAAGAAATTGCAAATATCATTTAGAAATGTACGAATTCATCTCGTCCCCTATCTATGGGTTAAATAGCAAGACTTGTATCTGGAAGAGCTGTTGTTAAATTTTTTTTTATCCGATATTCGCTTGCAAAATAGAATTATTTTTATACTGCAAAAATATATATATATTTCGGTTTCAAATAAGAGTTGATAAGCCGTGAAAAACAAATCAAACAATTAATCAAGCCGCTCATTTGTTTAACAACAGACAGGAAATATCTAACGTTTTCCTATATATATATATATATATATATATATATATATATATATATATATATATATATATGCACGTATGTATATTTAGGCAGCAATCCTTCGTTTATGCATGTTTCATTAAAAACAACAGAGAAGGTACTACGGTTAAGCTTTTTATTTAATTTTTCTTGTGTTCGAACAAGAGCTTTCTTTTCTAGACAAAGAGTGTGTAAAAACTGTCCAAATGTTTTATAGTTCCGAGCGCTTTCGGCTATAACATTAGCCATTATCAAGGATGGTTCGATTTTTCAGCTTAACTGAGTTTGTGCATTATGTCTATGTCTTAGTGTGTTATAGAGATGTTTTTAATTTCCGAATACGGTTAGCACATTTTGGCCTTGTTCGTAGTTAATATTGTTAATAGCTGGCTTTTTCCTTTTTTTATTATTATTGGATTTATTATCATTGGCTTTTTTCTTTTTTTTTATTATTATTTAATAATAAAAAAGAAAAAGCCAACTCTTAACAATATTAACAACGAACAAAAAAAAAATAAATTCCTGTAGACAGTATATTACAAAAAACATTAATATTTTTTACTACAACCAGATGCACCAAAATTATAAACAAGATGAATTCGCCATGCGACGCATCATAAAACTATACATTTCACCCGTTGACCCCAGTAAACGTGTAAAATTTAAAATATATTAGAAAATAAAAAAAATGACAAGCTCATATTCACAAATAACAACATACCTATCAAATCTAAATTTAAAACCATGAATATAGTCTGTCAATTTCGCTAGCAGGTACAAAAAAACTGTGGCTCTTCTAATAAACTTACTACCTACATTACGAATACGACAACTAAAAGTAAAATGATGACAAACCACTTAAGTCAACTCAAGGCTATAAAAAATGCATAGACACCCATTCACTAACCTCATTAAATTTATTGTTGATAATTGTAGACGATGTCTTAGATAACTGAAGCTCTTTCTATAAAATAATTCAAGCCAATGACCTATTTGCTAATGCAGTCCTGGACATGACGATAAACTAGATTCGGGAGTGAGCCTTTTTATTGGAGGTTCCGAGGAACGTGGGATAACTTCTTAATTACTGTCGTTCCCATGTCAACCCTTACCCGGAGTGGTAGCACCTGTTAGGGTCCCAACTATGGACAAATAATGAATCCCCCCCAAATCAAAACACTAGGAAACTAAAACTATATTTTTATAGTAAACATACCAGCAATACATTTTTATAAAAAAATAATTTAGCAACAATACATTTTTTAGTGAAATTACCAACGCTTTCAAAAAAAGAAATGGCCAATAGATTTTTCTAGTAGAATTGACCAATATATTTTGATATTAGAATTGACCAATGAATTTTTATAGTAGAATTGACCAATATATTTTTTTATATTAGAATTGTCCAATACATTTTTATAGTAGAATTGAAAATATGGCATACAATATCAAAAAAAAAAAATTAACAAAAGAAATTTGCTATAATTAATTTTATTTCTTGTAAGGAGAAACAAGTTTTCACTTCTTCATTGACTTTATAATATTATTGATATGGGCGAATGGTTAGCACGTTCGCTTTCTGACCATGAGAGCCGGGTTCGAATCTCACCATGGTTGATTTCTCAAAAAGAAGACTTCTTGATGTTATCGGCCTGGAAGTGTGGGAGATCCCTGCGTGCGCACCTTTGGAAAATTCCTAAAACCATACCTTGTGAGTAAAATTGGGTAGACAGAACCCTTGGGGGTCGTCGATAGCTGTGCTAGCACGAAGCCACAAGTCACCGTGACCGAGGGTTTGAGTGGCCTTGTTCAGATTGTTGATCATTCTAGATAACACGCTCTCTCCCTTAAACTGTAACTAAGGTCTGCTCAACGTAGTTGCAGTATAAACTACAGGTTGGCTCTGTTGAACAAACACAGATGTGCCTAAGCGAGCGTCTGCAATAGGGATTGGCTAGTAGATGCTAGCCTAATAGATGGGTATCTTTGAATACGACTGGCCAGCTATTATTATTCGGTTTAAAAATGTAGCTAAGCAATTGAAATTTAATCATGAAATAGTGTCATTCTCTTGAATTCATTGCAAAGTTTGAATTTACATATTTAGATTTCGGAATTAAATAACCCATAGAGGTGTTGATATGCCACTAAACAAAAACGGTCAACCATGGGAGTCAGCCAAGTGTTAGCTGTCTTTTAGAAGGCACACCAACAGACATATTTCATCTAACACGGCTAAGAATTTATACTACTTCCACACAATGCAACTTAAAAAAAAGAAAACCTTTTTAGGTTTGTACCTAAAAAACAATGAATCATTGCAGATTGTTTCTACATTCTCTTAGCCCATCAAGACGGAAAACTATAAGGAAATTAGAATAAACTAATATAACACTTGAGATTTTCCTTGTCTGTTACACACACACACACACGCACACAAACATACACATTTATAGATAGATAGATAGATAGATAGATAGATAGATAGATAGACATACTAGCTTAAAAGTCGCCCTATAGGGCAGTATTTAAACTAGCTCCTTTACGGCGGGCTCTTGATTGGGCCTTCATCAGAATAGGTAGGGAGGAGAAGATGCGATATGCAAAAATAAATTGCAGAAGATCTCAAAACTGGTCGCTGCATTTATATATTGCAATAATATTTAAGTTTACTTTTTAAAAGTTCAACGATAATTCTTCTGTCGACACTTAATTTAAAGACAATTTGATGCACGTAGGTCCTTACTCTCCCTTCAAACAATTATTTTTTTATTTCATGGGTGATTTTCGCTGGTTTACGCAATTAATTTTGATTATACCAAAATTTATTTCAAAGTTATAAAAATTGTTATCGTACAAAAAATTCGTCGCAAAAAAAAATCATAAACGTTCTCTGGAAACAATCGCAGTAATGAAAACTTGGGAATCCAAGATATCAGGATTGCGGGTCCAGCTTCGGATCTGACTCAGAATCTTCTTAATTTGTTCACGGGGTCGGCCTGATTCCAATATGGTATCATATGTTGGGCTATGGCCTTAAAGAATAAAGTTGAAGACACGGACATTTTTTTTTGAAACACTGTAATTTGAAAACAGTATTTTTTTTCATTTGAATATGAGCTATTGAAAGTTAGTTGAGTTGTGTCCCTTTAAATGTTTTTACCATTAGAAGCTAACATAGCGAAATCCGAAAACACTCGTTGTAATGAAAACTTAGGAATCCAAAATTTCAGGATTACGGGTCCGGATCCGCCCTGAAATGTTTTTAATTTGCCCACGGAGTCGGCCTGATTCCAAAATGGCATACATTGTCAAAAATTTCACAAAAGAAATTTGCTATGATTTCTTCTAAGGGTATGCTGGGCTACGGCCTCTAAGAGTAAAGTTGAAAAAGTGTGACACACTGACATTCGCATTTATTATATATGTATATGGAGACAGACAGACAGACAGACAGACAGAGAGCTACAACAAATTCAGATATTGACCCATGTTTAAGCTCATAAACAGAAAAGTGAATTAATAGAATCATTCGAAGATGTATCTGGCAAAGGAACGCTTGTAATCATTTCTGATAACTGTGGAATCCAATCAGCTATTTACTCTACAGAACTGAGCCACACTTGCATAACGAGACACGTAAATATTTCTATGTCCGCACTCAAACATGATGACGGAATAAAAATGACAAAACAAAACGAAACTTCTCTCTCCTTCTTTTTCTTTCTCTTTTTACCTGCAACGTCAATCGAAGAAAATGTATCCCTCCTATATTAACGAGCGATGATTTGTGTTGTCTGAATATTATAAGAATACTGCAGTTGGTGGGGTGGGCAGACAGGAATCTGTTGTTCGCATTGTAATTCGCCTCACAATGCTGATTTCTGTTGAAGACATCGTCACGCACCTGAAAAGTCTGGCTTTTCTTCTGATAACGATAAGACGCGATGCTTCAAGTGATGCAATATATTCGTACTATTTTTAACAACAGAGCGGAGAGAGAATATATACAAAGAAAGCAAGAAAGACGAATGGAAAAAGAAAGAGAGAACCAGAGAGTGGGTGAAGATTTAAAGAGAAGAACAAAATATAAGAACGAAGATGTTGAATGGTTGGTTTGGTTTGGTTTGTTTTACGGCATACCAAACTAAATGAGTTATTTAATGCCGACATGGTTTTTATTGCTGGTAATATTTTTTCTCGTAAAATGTATTGATGGTAATAATTGTTTCCTTCAAAAATTCATTGCTATTTTTACACTTTCGTAATGTTTTGAACCCAGTTTGAGGGTTAACTATTTGCCCATAGCTGAGACCCTAACAGGTGCTACCACTCCGGATCAGGGTGGACTTGGAAAGACTAGGAGTTAAGACGTGGTTCCACGCTACTCAAATCCTCCCGAGGCCTTGCTGTTGGATGTAGTTTATCGTTTTACTCAGGGCGATTTTGGTGGATGAAAAAGAGGGAAAGAAAATAAGAAGAGATCGGAGGAGGAAGAAAAGAAAGAAGAATGGAAAAGAGAAAAGGAAAAGAGACGGAAGAAAAAGAAAAAAAAGTGTGGAAGGGCGAGAAAATGAAGAAATGATCAATAGAAGATGAATAAATGCTAAGTCTAAGAAATCGGAGAAAGTTACAAGGAACAATAAGGAAAAGAATGGGAAACAAAAGAAATAACGAAAGAAAAGATAGAAAGAGAAAGAACAAGAGATAAGAAAGAGGAAAGAAAAAAAGAAAAAGAACAAACAGCAGAGAGAAAAATAAAATATAAAGAAGAGAGAGAAAAAAAAAAAAGAAATCCGGGCATCAGGATCCTCTCTCATTATTCCCTTTTACAACCTGTGGCTGTGGGGGAGATGGCTGTTAAGGCCCAGCCTACTCCTGAAGAGTCGTGTGCAAAAGTTACTGAGGATCATGGAAGGTAGACACGGCTGGGCGAGTCAGGCCCTCCGCTGATCCTCTTCGTGATAACGGTTAGGCTCCAAAGATTCGGTCACCCCTCACAACTCCCGGATAGTCCTACGCCATAGTCGACATGGGTTACCGTTACTGCAAATCGTCTTTTTTAAAAAACACTCCAGAGCTATCTAGCTATGGTTGGCAACCAGTCTAAAAAAAAAAAACTGCCTCATCAATCATGTATCGAAAGATACATGAGCGCCCAAGTGTGACGCTTAACTGATTGACTGAACTATTAAAGCGTCTCGCTAAATCAAAGATTCGCATTTTTTATTTTTTATTTTTTTTACCATGTGTAACTTTTCACCTGTCCGGCTGTTTTGGCATATCATATGATAATAAGATGTATTGATAAACGTTATTTCTACTGGATACTCCTCTTTGAGTAGACGCTCCGTTTATTTTTTTGAACAATATATTCATTTTCGTCTATCGGCCTGAATATTCAGTAAATCTTATTAAAGATTGCCTGATGCTCCCTCCGGCAAAATTTGAACTTGCGTCCTCCTTTGTAGGAAAAAAACAACAGAATAAGTGGCGCAGTTTATGGGGCTATGTGTGGAAGATAACTGTCGACTCTAGACTTGAACAGGTTAAGCATGGAGTGATCGAGGGAGCATAATCTTGGGGGTCGGTTCCAAAAAGCAGTAGTTCATGGGAACAAGCTGCTCGAGTGGAACTTACATCTCACCCATGAAATAAGAACAGAATAAGGGTGGTTCGCGACAGTGTGTGTGGCATGGCGAGTCTTAGCCGGAAAGGTTTGAACTTCTGGTATTAAGGAATGGAGTGAGAGGGTTTGTGATGTTTCGTCGGTTCGAAAAATGTTCTGGAATTAAAAAATAATTCCTCTTCCACAGCATGTAGTATTGCTGCCATATATGGTCTGGAGCCCCTTCTGTTTGCCTCGGGGTTCTTGATAAGCTCCACAGGTGGATATGCAATTGTCTGTTTTACAAATACTTTCATGGCAATTGCTCCGAGGAGCTGCATTCGCTGGTTCGCGGACTTCATGAGTTCAAGCGCCCTACGAGGCTAGCATCCCGCTCTCACCCTTTCACTGTCGAAACTATTAAATGTAGCCGTCTCTTCTACTCCAATAGCTTCATGTCTCGCACCTCTCGCCTGTGGAACACCCTTCCCTATTCCAGTTTCCCTGAGAGCTATAATCTCCAGATATTCAAATGTAATGTCAATCGACATCTACAGTGGCCTTGATCTATCCACTACCCTTCTCCTCGTCCTTTCTTCTATCACTCCTATCTGATCTTGCTCTAAATTTTCTGTAGCCCCTTGCGTCCTAGTGGCTTCCCGCCTTGCTTGGGGTGAAACGCTTAAAAAAGAAAAATGAAAAGAATGCGGAGAGGCTTTTGGACTCTGTTGAGACTAGAAAGTGAAGACTGGGCATCACCTGCTCATATGTCAGAATTACTCCATTGTAGGCCTGATCTGGATCTTGTAAAGGGAGTTGATAGGGATTTCGAATGAGTTTATCATCAAAGTTGGAATATAGTCGGGAAGACAGAAGTCTTGCAAATTTCTAGTCATAAATAGGGGCGAAGTGCCGAGAAATAGGAAATGATTGATTACCGTATTTTCCGACCTACGAGGCGCTGCGGCTTGGGAGACGCACCCTAATATTGGAAAGAAGTTTCTAAGAAAAAAATACATACAACAACACATTCACTATGCGTCCCTCACACACTGCCGCCATGTATTGTTTACATGAATCACTCGTCCGATTTTGTTTGTATGGCAATGACATACTAGTCGAGAGCAGAAAAGCTTCCGCCTTTGCTAGCAAACAGAGCATGTTTAAGCTTATGCCTCGGCTTCAGGAAGGTCTATAGTCTTGGTAATACTTGTAACAACTAATACATTATATAAAAGGCTGAATTAGATAGCTAACATTATAATGTAATGACTCAACACGCAAATCCACGTCCCTATTAGTCAAGCCAATTATGTAACCGCCCAAACTTATTTGAGCCTGGGCGTTGCCTTACATTCGTATTAGAAGACGCACGTATTTTTCAGGGTATTTTTTAAGGAAAAAAGTGCGTCTTGTAATCTGGAAAATACGGTACGTATCAATTGATTTTCTTGGGCCCATCTCTAAGGGTACGCTTACCCCTGTTTGAAAACCCCTACGCAAAACTGTTTAACTCTGTATTTAGTTCGATAATCACTAAGTACCCTAATATTTTTACCCGATGCTAGCCTCAGAGTATAACTGAATTTTAAGCTGGATATTCTTATATATGTGAACGTAGACACAGGCCAAATAAAATAAGCATTATCTGAGTGAGCATAAACACTGGGAGAACTTTACCTTATCAATAAACACGAATCGAAATGCTTTAGTGTTAGGGTTTGGGGCAAGATAATGAATAAGTGTGTGTGTGTGTGTGTGTGTGTGTGTGTGCGCGCGCGCATGCGCGTGTGTGGGTGTGCGTGTGTGGGTGTACAGTATTGTGTTCATGGTTATTTTTTCATGTGTTTTTACATTTAAAATATATCGATCATCCCAATTGTATTTCTTACACTCAAAGAAGGAAAAAAAAAAAACCCACCCCGCCTCACTGCATGGGCATTTAATTTCATTCTTTGTACGAAGATCATGACCAAGAAATAAATAATTAATAACGAAATAATTAGTCAAGTAATTAAGCGTAACAATTTCTAATTTTCTGATATTTAAATAATTGAAAATTCTCCATGTTCTCATTGTTTTAGAATTTGGAAGGAGGAAGTAAGTGAGGAGGGGGCGCTTTTATTCCCTTCTCAAACTTCAAAAAATTTTTAAAGAATAAAATATCGAACAAAATAAAACATCAATGCCTAAAACCGATTGAAAAATTTAATTCAATTAATAAATCACTAATTATTTGATTACAAGAAAAGTTAGCAAAAACAGCAAATGAATTATCAAGCGTTATTGATGCTTTTTTAAGGCAATGAAACAAATGAGTGAATTTAAATAGCCCAAGTAATGTTTATCATTTTTGGTGGTGTTAAGATTGGGTGTGGTTATATGGGGCCGGTAGCCTGTGTGAATCAAAATGATACGAAATTCTTTTGTTTAACTTAGATTTATTAACTGAGTTCTCAAACTCTTGGGCTTACGGCTCTATCACGTTGAAACACCAGTATCCGTACGATCACCAACGTTAAGCGACGTCGAGCCTGTTCAGATGTGTGACCGCTTGGGAATAGCATGTGCTGTAA